CTAAAAGCATTTCAGGGTGAAACAGAACACCGACCAAGCCGCACAAAGTGTATCGCTGGATGAAGATTCACTGGATCCACCGCTCGGCTCAGGCCTCGGGGTCCTGCCAGCCCCCCGGGGCCCTACTGCTGGCCTCACGCCCGTCACAGCGTCCGCCCTCCCCTGAAGCTCACCCTGCCCTGACCTCACGGCAGGCAGTTCCAGGCTTTTCTCTTTTTTTTTAAGAGAGTATTTATTTATTTGACAGAGAGATGGCACAAGCGGGGGAGCAGCAGGCAGAGGGAGAGGCAGGCTCCCCACTGAGCAGGGAGCCCGACACAGGGCTCCATCCCAAAACCCGGGATCATGACCTGAACTGAGTCACCCAAGGCGCCCCATGATTTCATTTTTTTAATTAATTAACTTTTTCTTGAGAGACAGAGAGCGTGCAAGCAGGGGGACAGGCAGAGACTACAGACTCCCTGCTGAGCACAGAGCCCAACACGGGGCTCGAACTCAGGACCCCAAGCGAAATCAAGATTTGGCTGCTCAGCTGACTGAGCTGCCCAGGCGCCCCAACACCTCATAATTTCATGCTGTGATTTTTTTCAAAGCCCAGACTATAAGGTTTTTACCCAATCCCTTTTCTCTTACAACTGTTACCTCCTTTCTTCACCACAAGAATCCTAGTTCAAGAGCGGATGCGAGAATCAGATTGTCACAAAATCAATGACTAGCTCTTTTCCACATCAGTAATAGCTTCCCAATACCAATATTAACTCTATCAAAGGAATTACTGAAAGGAGTTTACAACTACTTTGGCAGACAGTGGCATCGTCATCAGGGAGGAGTAAGTTTTCTACCGTCTCCCCCCAGCACGCTGACTTAGACAATCACCCACCACCAAGAGGGCCTCTGCAGAGGTCGGGGAGTCCAAGAGAGAAGAGAAGCACCTACACCACGGAAGCCAAAAACTCCGCAGCTGGGCACGCAGAAGAGGCCTACGTCAGCCTTCCCGCCCCGCGGCACAGCCCAACGGGGAACGGCCAGCCCTCAGCCCGGGACTTCTCCCTCAGGGACGCGGAGAGCGTGGGAGCCCGCCCCTCGCTTCCTCAGCGGCGCAGGGTGGCGGCCAAGGAGGGCCATTGCTCCCGTGCCCCATCCAGGAACGCTGAGGTCCCAAAAATCTCCTTCGAGTGTTTTTATTGAACCCAGGATAGGATGAGGGTTGCACACAGCATTTCACTGTTGGATCTCTCTCTGGTCTCCTTTCATCTACATCCGTCCTCCCATCATCTACTCTCCAGAGCGGCTGGGAAGGTTAAGCAGAAAGAACCCAAGTCAAGCGGCCGGTCCCGGCTTATATGCAGCACCTGACACCGCTCCATACATTACCTCCCTGCCACATGCCTGCAGCCCACCCAGAACCCAGGGTCCCGTCTGCAAGACGGCTATACTGACTGTCCTAAATTCTTAACGTGGCATCCGACTTCGCTAATCTGAGTCCATGCTGGGCAGGCAAACCGGGTCCATGAGTGCTTGCCAGATGAAGGCTTCTGACCGTGTCACACTGAGAGCCGCACGCGGGTCACCTCCCGGGCCCCAGAGGCCACTGGCACTGCAGTTACGGCTGTCTCCCGGCACGCCCACACAACGGCCTGTCTGGCGTTAGGCCAGCGTAGTCAGCACATGGTGTAACGTCAGCTCTGCCACGCAACACGGTGACTCAACACCTCCACCCGCCACCCGTCCACATCAGCACACTTGGTGCCTTCTGCCCACCTCACCCGCTCAGGCGGCCACCAGGGTGTTCTCTGTATTTGAGAGTCTAGAGGAGTTTCTGTTTTCTTTTTTGTTTGGTTTCTTAAATTTTTGAATCCTTAGCCCAAACTACACAGACACGGCATCATCCACTCACCAGACTCTGGAAGGTCCTTGTGGGCCTCGGTGCCCACCTCCTCTCCTCTGTGAGACTTGCCCTGGTGGTGGACATTAAGACCCTGGGCCTCCAGTTCTACAGCCGGCCGTGGAAACAACCATCGCCAGGAGAGAGGGCATCCAGCGAGCGACCCCACGTTCTGCATCACACTTGTGCTGTAGCTAACTGACGGGAAATCAGACCAGCCTTGCATTTACAAAACACTTAGCGATGGTGATCCTAGCCCTCTCTGAGGTGGTTTTATTTTACAGGACAGAAGAAGGTACTCTTAGACTACAAGTCCCAGACTACAACTCTGCTTTCATCTTGGAAGGGCAGAGCTCTGTAGCAAAAGGCAGAAACACACACCATGACAAACACATGAACTCACAGAGCCACCGCAAGGCGGACAGGTACGGTTTGCCCCTGGAGCCCTCCTGTCATGTCTCTCAGGGAGAGCGGCCACCGTTGGCAGGCAGCCACATCAGTGTCCCATCCACACTCCCCACAGCCAGCTGGCTCGGCTGGACGTCTGCTTGCCCAGACATGGCCCTGGGACGAGAGCTAATCAAGCCCCCCCTCGGCAGGTGTCAAGCACCATTTATTCTGCCAAACTCCTCTCTTGGGAAAAAGAAGTCAGAACCTCTGTCTGCAACCCTCCATCTCCTTGCAGAAAAATGCCGTCTGGTGGTATCAGGCAGTTTATAAACAGCAAAAAATCCACCCAATCCAATACTCTTTAAGCCCTGGTATAATGTTAAATCCACCTGACATTTTCACAGTTTCTTATGTGTCCAACAGTAAATTTGCTCTTCTGCCTTTGTTAATAATACACACACAAAAAAAATGTTAATCAAATATTAGTATTATACAAAGAAGCTTGTTACGGTTAAACACTAGAGAGAGCACAGGGGAGCAAACTTCATGCCGAGCGTTAGGGACTGAATGTCTGTGTCCTCCCCGAATTCCCACGCTGAGGCCCTAACACCCAGGGTGCCAGTGCTCCGGGGCAGGGCCCCTGCACCATGGGCGGGAGCGGGAGGAGGGGCTCACTCAGGCCTCCAGACCCGCAGTGCCCACCAACTCTTCCTCCGTGGCGCCCCAGACGGTGTAAATGGAGGCTGAAGAGGACAGGTGGGGTCCCGGTTGCCTGAAACTTCTCCTCTAGCGGAAGGAGGCAGATGGGCAGGAAAAACCAGCAGGACACTTGGAGGAACAAGTGCAGAGTTAGTAATGTAGGTGCCACAGAAGCGACGAGGGCCGGGGTGCTGGTGCGGCTGATGCGGTCGGGCGGTCACCTGAACAGTTGGGGGTGGAGGTGCAGATTGTGGGGGAGAGAGATTGAGGTGAGGGCAGAGCCGGTCCAGAGGCCCTCAGCCAGGACCACTGGGCACGCTCCGGGGACCAAGTGGCCCGCGTGGCTGAGACGCCTCAGGGATGCAAGAGGGAAGACGACCATCCCTGTCACGGGAACACGGAACCGTAACTAAGCTTTGCCTCTCGAGTTCAACGGGACAGCCTCATCCCTGAGCACCCACATACATGGGAGACCCTGACTGGAGAGAGAGGCCCATTCCCACAGAGAGACAGACAGACAGACATCTCATTCCTGGAGATAACACCCACTTCATAACTGCCAGGCCTCTGGGCCTTGGTACCAGCTGATTCCTTGCAGGCCAAGGCCTGAGGGGCCCGTGCTTTTTCTTCATCCAGGAAGCTTTCTAGTTCAGGCCCAGGAACTGGTTCAGTCGCACAGGAATGCTGGGAGCCCCACAGGACCTCACCAGGCAAAGGGAGCTGCATCTCGTCATGTCCCAGAGTCTTGGGGCACTCTAATCCCAGACTTATTATCCCTGCTGACCCTCTGGGCCACAGGAAGGTTGCAAGGACAGACTCTAGAGTCAGGCTGCCTGGATGCATAACCCAGTTCTGCCACTTCCTAGCTGTGTGACCTCTGAAAAATTACTCAACCTCTTTAGGCTTTAATTCCTCATTTGTAAGGTGGAGACATTAATAGCACCTACTTCCTAGGGTTGCTGTGAGGGTTAAGTGAGCTGATTTACGCAGCCTCTGAAATACCAGCTGCTACCATCACTGTCCTGCAGGAGACAGACCCTTCCTCATTATGCATCCTTGGCCCAAGAGCCCAGGCCAATCCCTGCTTCATAGCACGAGGCAGTGAAATGTCGTGTCATGCTACAGATAAGGATGGGGGACAGACCATAACTAACATCTGTTGACCCCGTACCAGGCTGCAGGTGGCATATAAGTCCTTGTGACATCCTGGAGATGTTCACAAGTATTTCATAAACTAGGAGACTAAGAGAAGTCAAGGTCACCCGCCCAAAGTTACACAGTAAGTTCTAACGGCAGAATCTGCTATCTCAAACCATAGTCTTCAACCGAATGCTTGCGGCCCCCAAAATTCCCGTGTTGAAGCCCGAAACCCGAACGCGCCTATATTTGGAGACTGGACCTGTGAGGAGGTGATAAAGGTTAAGTGAGGTTATGCAGGTGGGGCCCTAATCCAGCAGGGCTGCTGTCCTCACAAGAACAGGAGGCACCACAGGCTCGTGGCCGATCTCACATGGATCTTGCTCCGGCCGCCTGAGCTAATACACCCCATGATGCCTCTGACTGAACGTACGAACGCATACGTCCACTCGCAACCTGACACAATTAATCCAGTAGATCTTACTCCTCATCAGCTAGTCCTAATGCTACAAGGAGTATAAATGCCCGTTTTCTCCAGACGCCACCTCCCTACAGAAACCACCAGCCTCGGAAGAACTTTACCATCACGGCCAATTAGATCACAGCAGTTATACCTGAAGAAAAATGCAGTAATTCCACCAACTTAAGATGACCTCCTGGCACGTGAGCATAGGATGGTAAAAAGTGTGAATTAAGAAACGATTTAGCTGGCAAGTACCTTTATTGCTCTCAGATCTATACAGGAACTCAGTGGGCGGACTAAGCGCCCGGGAGAAGGCTCGGGCGGCTCGAGTTAACGAAGGGCAAGCAAGTTAGGAGGAGCAAGCCACAGGCACGGAGGGGCCAGGACCTGCTGATTAAGACTGGGGGGCGCGGGGCGGGGGCTTACCGTCGCTGAGGTCTTGGAGGAGATTCTCCTGGCACGAGAAATCCAGCTTCACCTTGATGTTGACCACGAAAGTGGCCACCTTCCCCGGCTGCAGAGGAAACTGGGCAAGGGTTTCTTCCAGGCTCCAGCTCAAGAAGTCGCCGTACAATTTTTCTACAATGACGAGGACAGTGGTGGTCAGGATGGTGGGACTGAGGCAGGATGTGACTTACCAATGCCCCTGGGAAATCCTCACGCACCCCCAAAGCAAAGGAAAAGGCAAACCATTTACAATGTGAGAAATCCAAGTACCAAGAAAATTCCAGACTCATGGGTGGTACAAGGCAGTGGCTGCTGCCTGTGAACAAGGCGCGAGGGGCAGACCACCGAGCTTGGGCCGGCTCGTCCCCACTCCTGCTGCAGGCTTCCTCTCGCCAAAAAATCAATGCACCCTTTGCTCACATAAACGGAATAAACGGATTCGGAGGTAACAAGAATTTCCCCACGAGGACTGCCTCGGTTGTCCCCTTGAGGAGAAACAGATCCATGTCAAGTGGGAGAAGCAGAGACAGTAGAGGACCCTCTTCAGGAAACGGATTCAAAACCAGAGCCACGGGACTGGGAGCCACGCCCGGGACCCGCAGAGCCTGCAGGGGGGCTCCGAGCTGCCCCGCAAATCCACCCCCGTCTCGGAGAGATCCGCACGGCGGAGTCAGCCCTGCATCTGCTGCCTTTTCATCTCTGACTGACTGGACAGACGGAGGGTGAGGACTCCCTTACGTCAAGGGGTCTCCGTGTGGAAAGGGGGCGACAGCTCCCGCGTCACAGGGCTGTGGCACAGATTAAGCGAAGCGCTGGAAAGCTAAGGGCGCTCATGCACTGCGGGACGGGAGGGAGACGGCAAGGAGACAGCGCGGGGGTGGGGACCCCACTTTTGCCGTGTGGAAGCAGCTGTGTCACCTTCGAGCTCCCACGCCTGCCAGACGAGCCTGGCTTTGGGCCAGAAATCAAGGCCTGACACCAAGTGCTGCCTCGGCATCTGGTGGAACCAGGGGGCCCTGCACCGGCCTCACCACAGGTCCGGCCCCACCCTGCGCCCATGACTGGGTCCCCATCCCCCCCCGCCCTATGCCCATGACTGGGTCCCCCATCTCCCCCGCCCTGTGCCCATGACTGGGTCCCCCATCCCCCCCGCCCTCCGCCCATGACTGGGTCCCCCATCCCCCTCACCCTGCGCCCATGACTGGGTCCCCCATCCCCCCTGCCCTGCGCCCATGACTGGGTCCCCATCTCTCTCACCCCTCCAGTCCCTGCTGACCCTCAAACCGGCAGTTCCAGTTCCCACCGGCCACGGACTGACCGAAACAAGTGAGCGACATCCTCCGGCAGGAACCAGGGGCACCCACCCCCTTGCGACTACACAGCCTGCCTCCCATAGCCCTGGCCTCCCTCTGTTCCCGAGGGTAACCCCTACTTGGCCCTGGGTGCACACGGGGTCCTCCTCCCTGGGCTGTATGTGTGATGAGTAAATTGTGTTATCGCTGTCAGGGGTCAGGGTCAGCTGCTGGGCCATCCCCAACACCCTGAGGTAAGGCCCTTTGCTTGCCGACCAGGTGCGAAGAGATGGTTCACCCAGGCCCCTCGGTCCACGAAAAGGCCCTGCCATGGTCATCTGCTCAGGGCCCAGCTCCGAGGCTCTGTACTTCCCCTCCTCCTGTAGACCCGGCAGGGCCTGAGGCGGGAGCACCTCGCTGCTGCCCACCCCCCCCCGGCTTCCCTTTTCTATGAACCAGTTCTCGGTGCTACATGTCCTCTGTTGGAATAAGGCAGCCAAGCCTTCCAGAGATTAAGCCACTCGTCGTCGAGAACCAGAGCACGCCGACGGTTCCAGACCCACTACACTCATCCCGCACGGAGGCAGCTCAAGGCAGAGGCACACACGAAGTCCTGCTCCTGGGACCCAGAAGTCACCACGGAAGAAGCCAGCGGGAGACGGAGCACATGAGCACGCCCGCGCTGAAGAACACGGCTGAGCCGTGCTGCAAACACAATCCACACGCTGCGCTGGTCCTGGCACGGTCCCTCCGGAACCTGCCGCACACCCACCAGGCCTCAGGGCTTCTCCGGGGCCCTCGGAGAGCAGTGCTCCATGCAGGAGCAGATGGGGTGGTGTCCACGCGAGGCACTCAGAAGCCACGTCATGCCCCCTGCTCACGAGGGGCTCACGGCACACCCGGAATATACCAGACCCTCTGCACACGCAGGTGTCTGGCCTGAGCGCCGCCACAGCCCAGCGGAGTAGCGGCTATGATCCCCACAGGAAACCGAGAGGGCGGAGGTATGCGATCGCACTCCCACTCCCGCAGCCGCGAGTATAAGAACCGGCCCACGACGGGCACTCGGGAAGTACCTGTGACACCACAGCACCCCCGACGCCGCCAGCACACGTGGTGTCCAGAGGCCCCATACAGGCACATTACCACCTGAATCAGAATGACCCAGGGAAAGATGGGGAGTCGGGAAAGGGATGATGACTGTAGGGCCCGTGGGCTCCTGGGACATAGACTGACGACCACATGGGGCAGCGAGTCCCGACAGACCGGGACAGTGGGGGCCCTGCCCGCAGCTACAGATGCAACACGCCAGAGAGACTGCCTTTCGGACGCAGCTGGGAAGGCAGGGAGAAGTCAGGCAGGTTAGAAAGAGGGAGCGGGAGGGGCACTGGGGGGCTTAGTTGGTTACGTGTGGACTCTGGGTTTCGGCTCAGATTCATGATCTTGGGGTCATGGGATGGAGACCCACCTCAGGCTCTGTGCTCAGCACGGAGTCTGCTTGTGCCCCTCCCTCTGCATATGTGCATATGCGCACGCACTCTCTCTCTAAAATAAATCAATAAATAAAATCTTTTTGTTAAAAGATTTATTTGACAGAGATCACAAGTAGGCAGAGAGGCAGGCAGAGAGAGAGAGGAGGAGGCAGGCTCCCTGCTGAGCAGAGAGCCCGATGCGGGGCTCGATCCCAGGACCCTGGGATCATGACCTGAGCTGAAGGCAGAGGCTTTAACCCACTGAGCCACCCAGGTGCCCCTTCCCCCCCGACTTTTAAAGATTTTATTTATTGTGTGCCTGGGTGGCTCAGTGGGTTAAAGCCTCTGCCTTCAGCTCAGGTCATGATCCCAGGGTCCTGGGATCGAGCCCCGCATCGGGCTCTCTGCTCAGCAGGGAGCCTGCCTCCTCCTCTCTCTCTCTGCCTGCCTCTCTGCCTACTTGTGATCTCTGTCTGTCAAATAAATAAATAAAATCTTTAAAAAAAATGTAAAATGTTTAAAAAAAAAAAAAGTCGGGGGGAACCTGTGCGGGTGACCCCCGACCTGTCCCATCCATGTGCAGGTACACGTGTGTGGGTGCACAGCCCCCTGCCAGCCCTGCCTTGCCCCTCCTGCCTTCGTCTGCATGGACTCTCCATGTCTGCTGGGAAACACGGACTCAGCTTCACAAGCCGACCTGACCCCTGGTCTTTATGGCAGCCCTGAAAGTCACAGCACCCGCCACCTGCGTTCTGGGGCTGGCACAGAACCCAAGCCAGTGCCTTGGCTCCAAACCACTGAGAGGACCAAACCGTCTCAAGAAACCCGTAAGTCACATTCTGTAAACATGCGCTAACCCAATTACTGGATTCTTTACCTCTATTTTCCAATCCAGTAAATTATTGCAGAATGGAAGGGACTTGAGATGCCAGGCTATTGGACACCAGGACAGAACATCATTTGGGCCCTACCTGCTAGAAGGCCAGGCCCCGAGGTCCCCCGGTCCTGAAGCGCACACTAACTTCTTTAAACAGCCTAGCCATCCTCTCCGGCAGGACTGGCTGGAGCGCCCACACCGAGTAGGACCCGGAGGCAGATCCCAGGAGGTCTGTGTTTCAGAAACAGGTCTCCCCTGCATGGGCAGGAACCAGGTGAGAGCTCTGTGGTGCATTCCCTGAGCCAGAGGACGGGGCCCAGACAGGACTGGAGTGCCTGGAGCCGTCTGGCCTCACCCTCCGAGCCCCAGGTAACCCCTGACACATGCTGCTCCCCCGCCGAGGTCTCCTGGCACACTTTCCTACGTGGCCAATTCTGACTCATCCTTCACAGCCCGACCCTGAGGCTCCTTTGCTGGGATGCCCTTCCCATCCCACGCTGCTGCCCTGGGCTCCGAAGCGCCCACCTCCGTTAGAACATCACCGCCTGCATCAAGCAGCTCACTCCTCCACCGACTGCAAGGCGGGGGCCAGACCCCTTGAAGCTCACCACTCCCGGGAGAGGCAGGGCACCAACCCGGCTACGAATGCCCAGTTTAGGAGAAAACTGCGTGGGTTCAACTCCTGGCTCTATCTGGGCATCCCTAGGTAAGCCACCAAACTTGCACGTGCCTCAGTGTGCTCATCTATAAAATGGGTTGTCATGGAGAAGAAACAAGCTAACGAAAGTAAAGCAACCAGAACAAGGTCTCGCTTAGACGCGGCCGCCACGCCGTGTCAGCTGTTCCTGCTGGGCCAGCCTCGCTCCCCTCCACGGAGCTGCGCACGGAGCAGGTAAGTCGCAGGGAGGCTGCCGGCCTGCACCTGGCACTCAGTAAATCCACAGCAGTGCCCGCGGCCATCAGCATCCTTCCCGCGCAACAAGGAGTGGCAGCGGGCACGTGGGGGGCGCTCAGCAAGCATTCGACGTGGAACAGACAAATGTACTCCAAGACGTTTCAGATTTAGACTTAGAACAGATGGGGGGAAAGCGACGTGAGGAAAGCAGATTACCAGATTGAATGTACACTAGGATTTCGTGGCACAAAAAGGTTCACATGGAAAAATACATAGGTATAGCCCACCTTACAGCTAACGTGGGTCCCCTCCAAGTACAGAGATCCAGTCGTTTCAAATTGCTTTTATTTTCTGAATTTTCTACAATGAGGTAATGTATTACACTTCCCTAAACATATACACACACACTTACCTCTCAGTGTTGTGTCTAAATCCTCCGGGGACCCCCACTGCCCCGGTGGAACATGGGGAGAAGCCCCGTGAACCCGGAGTCTGCAAATGCACACACGGGGCTGAGCATGCTGACCACCCCCCAGGACAGCGAGGCCGGGTTCTAAGCCAAGGCAGCTGCTTCTCCCAGGACCGCCTGTCAGGGC